GCGTGGAAATACAGCGCGTGGAAATTGCGGAGCGTGGAATTATGGCGCGTGAAAATTACGGTGTGTGGTATTATGGCGTGTGGAATTATGGCGCGTAGAAATTTCGGCGCGTGGGAATTACGGCGCGTGGAAATACAGCGCATGGAAATTACGGAGCGTGGTATTATGGCGCGTAGAAATTTCGACGCGAGAAATTTCGGCGCGTGGAAATTACGGAGCGTGGAATTATGGCGCGTAGAAATATAACGCGTGGAAATTACTAAATTTCGACGCGTGAAATTACAACGCGTGGAAATTACGGAGCGTGGAATTATGGCGCGTGGGAAATACAGCGCGTGGAAATTACGGAGCGTAGAATTATGGCGCGTAGAAATTTTGACGCCTAGAAATACAGCGCGTGGAAATACAACGCGTGGAAATTACGGAGCGTGGAATTATGGCGCGTGGAAATACAGCACGTAGAATTATGGAGCGCGTTAAAAATTAATTTTTGTAATTTTTTTTGTAGAATCTATGTTCATGACAAACAGTATGCGACTATGTGCGAATTGTAATATATTATTGATTATACGAGACAATTGAATTTTAATAGAAATAGAGTACTCACGTCACCCTTCTCAGGCACATATTTTGCTAGCCAACCCCATAATACTCCGAATCCAAGTCCTCCGATAATGGATATAGGTCCCTGGAGGATTTGATACCATAGTGCATCGTGGGAGAACATAATGCTTTTCATGATTCCGTGAATTGCGACTGAAGCTGCGTCGTCGATTCCGGATATAGCGATGATCAAAGTCGGGATACCCTGCAAAACAAAAATAAGAAATTTTATGAAATGTATCATTGGTAAAAAGAAATTACATTCCTAGTTCAAGTTTCAAATTACTGTACATTTATTGAATTCTCTGGGAAGATTTATTAGTTATAAATTTAAAAATTGGGAAACTTACAAACATTAAAATGAAAAATTTTCGAATTAATTTTTAGTCAATATGAGTTCATCAATGAAAAAATTTTCCATAGAATGTATATTAATGCAAAAATAATACAGTGTACTTATTCTTAATAAAATCATCTTACAAGATTGTTCGACAGAATAAAAAACCAAGATTAAAACAATGAAATTTTCAAAGCACAAAAAAGAAGTAGAGTAAAGAAGTTATCACATAAAATAAGTAATGAAACTATCACATAAAAGAAGTAATAAATAAAGCATAAAATGAAAAGAAATCCACGTCCACTCGCAATTAAAGTCACGCAGATAGGAAAAGTTGACGTGAAAGAGTTAGTAGACATTTGTGGCTAACACGATCCGGAGCAACATTTTTCCGACAGGAATCGATGGTTTCCGTACTTTTCCTCGTTTCCGCAGTAACTTTTTTATTTTTGAGCAACGGTGGTTACAACATCCGTGATTTACGGAAACCTCGTTATCGAGTGCAATCAAATTCCTTCGAAACAACCTCGAAAACGTTAGAGAAACTCAACTGAGACTTTAACACCGACAAATTCTCATTCACCCTTCGGAAATATTTTCAAATATTTTATTAATGTCACTTAAGACTAGATAATTTGTACTGAACTGAATTAACACGATTCTGAATAAAATTTCCCTCTGCAAAAATGGGGTTTGAAGCTTTGTTTTTGAATTATTAAGGAATATAATTTTTCGCGGCGTAATTTCCACGCGCCATAATTCCACGCTCCCTAATTTCCACGCGTCCGCCATAATTCTATGCGTCGTATTTCCACGTGCCGAAATTTCTACGCGCCATAATTCCACGCTCCGTAATTTCCACGCGCCATAATTCCACGCTCCGTAATTTCCACGCGTTATAATTCCACGCTTTGTAATTTCCACGCGTCATAATTCCACGCTCTGTAATTTTCACGCGCCATAATTCCACGCTCCGCAATTTCCACGCGCTGTACTTCCACGCTCCGCAATTTCCACGCGTTGTACTTCCACGCTCTGTAATTTCTACGCGTTGTACTTCCACGCTCTGTAATTTCCACGCGTCATAATTCCACGTTCTGTAATTTCCACGCGTCATAATTCCACGCTCTGTAGTTTCCACGCGTTATATTTCTACGCGCCATAATTCCACGCGCCATAATACCACACATCGTAATTTTCACGCGCCATAATTCCACGCTCCGCAATTTCCACGCGCCGTAATTCCCACGCGCCATAATTCTATGCGTCGTATTTCCACGTGCCGAAATTTCTACGCGCCATAATTCCACGCTCCGTAATTTCCACGCGTTATAATTCCACGCTTTGTAATTTCCACGCGTCATAATTCCACGCTCTGTAATTTTCACGCGCCATAATTCCACGCTCCGCAATTTCCACGCGCCGTAATTCCCACGCGCCATAATTCTATGCGTCGTATTTCCACGTGCCGAAATTTCTACGCGTCGTAATTTTCACGCGCCATAACTCCACACTCCGTAATTTCCAAGTAATTATATTAAGAAATATATTTTCACGCGCCATAATTCCACGCTCCGCAATTTCCACGCGCTGTATTTCCACACGCCGTAATTCCCACGCGCCATAATTCTACGCGTCGTATTTCCACGTGCCGAAATTTCTACGCGTCGTAATTTTCACGCGCCATAACTCCACACTCCGTAATTTCCAAGTAATTATATTAAGAAATATAAATTCTTTTTAGGCTCGAAACTGTCGCTCTCTAATAATTTAAAAACGAAGCTTCAAACCCCATTTTTGCAAAGGGAAATTTTATTCAGAATCACCTCCTCTACCACCCCTTTCCGAGAGTTAAACGAGTTGTAAGACACCCTGTATATTCTGGCCCCTGATATATCAGGCATAATACGTCAGATGGTTGAAAGGTGGTAAGTAGTTACTGATCGTTATGGTCAGACGCCGGTATTGAATTAGCCATTCATGGAAATTTCCCCGCGTCGTTCGAAAATTTGATGAATACGTCAATTTGTCAATAAGAACTGTTGCTGACAGGCCATCTAGAGGGGCACAGGGGAAGAACGGAGATGGGACGAGGGTGGATACGCCTTGCGAATAAAAGCTGCTGTCTGAATATCGATTAGCTCGACCATCGACAGACGATATTTTTGGCGGGTTTTACGTAACACCGTTTAAAGGATACGCGATCGATGTCCACTGGCTTTCTCCTTCGATTCCTACTTGTTCTTTTATTTCAGAGTAAATAAACAAACCGAGAGTCTCGCTGATAAGAAGGATAAAGTTTGCCGGTAAACTCCCAGATAAAATCCAGCGACCGGTGTACTTCCGATAATTACGGAGCCACATCTGATACTGGTCCGTTTAATTTCAAGAAAATTGAGAAAAATGGTGTTGGTTGATTTCGAGGAATTCACTGTTGTTGACGAAAGCAACATTTTTCTAATTTTGTAGTTGAATTACATTACTCACGATTATTTTGATGCACTCACAAATAAATACCTGTGATACAAACCGGTTTTTTGTACAATTAGAATTTTAAGAAAGACCTGTATTTCACTAGCATTATGAAGATCTATGTAAATTTTTTTGATTTCTATGCCATATAGTAATAATTAAAAAAATGCATGTGCAAGAATGCATGCAATGCAAGATTGTGTTAAAAAGCAAGAGAAAAAATTATAAAGTAACATTCGACTAATTCGATTTCCCAATTCTTTAAATGGAACCCGATGGCCGTAAAAGTACACCTAATTACTAGGTGGAACAAGCGGTATACAGTAAACTTCATCGATAAAGATCTGGTTAAATCCAGCCTCCGGTGTAATCTTCTGCAATTACGAAACATTGCTCAGGCGGTAATCCTATCTAATTCAAGGGAAATGAACAGAGATCCTTTTGAAATTCGTAGAATTTCCGTTAAAACTACAACCAGATGCATGCGGAATGTTAATTCCGCAAAAATCTCTAGTTCCATCTAATCCTTGTTAATCACCGAAAATTTAAATGCGTTACGTGGACCGAAAATTGAACATTCAGCTTTCGCGATTAGTCACTTATTTCTGGAAAATGGGACTCAAAATAATAACACAGAGAATTTACAATTTTTGTGATATTTATATTGTGGTGGACGGTTTGTGGTACTGATGAAGTATAATTCATTGCACGAACAAGATTAATATATTCACTCAAATATTCACTAGTAAAAAAGAATTGAACTCGAAGCAATTCCTTTATGTCTGAAAAACAGGGTACAAAATGATAACACAGAGAATTTACAATTTTTGTGATATTTATATTGTGGTGGACGGTTTGTGGTACTGATGAAGTATAATTCATTGCACGAACAAGATTAATATATTCACTCAAATATTCACTAGTAAAAAGGAATCGAACTCAAAGCAATTCCTTCATGTCTGAAAAACAGGGTACAAAATGATAACACAGAGAATTTACAATTTTTGTGATATTAATATATTGTGGTGGACATTCTGTGAATTTGATGAGTGAGATGAAGTATAATTCATTGCATGAACAAGATTAATATATTCACTCAAATATTCACTGGTAAAAAAGAATCGAACTCAAAGCAATTAGTCCTTCATGTCTGAAAAACAGGGCACAAAATGATAACACAGAATTTACAATTTTTGTAATATTAATATATTGTGCTGAACATTCTGTGGTACTGATGTGTGGGATGAAGTACAATTCATTGCACGAACAAGATTAATATATTCACTCATGGTGAAAAAGAATCAAACTCGAAGTGTGTTTGAACATGTCCAAATGATCATGAAAAGATCTTTCCTTCACCCCAATAAATTTACCTTAAAATTAAAATAAATTTCATGAAGTGTATTGCTAAACCCAGCACGATTTCAGCGGTAATAAAATGAAGTCAGATCAACAATGATGCATCATCTTCCATATCAGGAAAAGGTTTGCATAGTAGCAATGTTTCGAGGCAATTCATCGGAACACAATGTGCTTGGCCCACAAGAGATTTCAGCGAAACCAGGGACCACCGTAATTTACCGCAATTACAGAACGCTGTTTAAACCATGATCCCATCTAATTCGCTAGCCTGCCCTCCTCTGAATTTATCGTCATCGGGTTGTACCGGTTAGACCGTCGAGCATTTCGAGCCAGCCGTTCGTGGTTCTCGCGTTTTAAGCGAACCGTCCACGTGGACAAACCGCAGCCGATTCTCGTCTTATTTCGACCGTTCGACTGGAATAAAGCTGGCCATTCTTCGGCTCTGTGTCCGCTTTTCCTGCATCGATTATACGGACGCGATGAAGCGGATCGAAGAAATAGAGATCCAGATTTCCGATGGCTAATTCTGACCAAAAATCCGATCTGAATTCTTTCATTTTACTGTCTTCTTATTCTAACTGTAGACTCTTTTCATATTTTGTCATTCTGTGCATGAAGTTGTACTATAGATGAGTGGCTGGTAAGATGGCAAAGATCTGATTCATCTGTTAGTTTACCAAACGCAAATAACATTTATTGTACCAACACATAATGTTGATCATCCACATATTTTTAAAAATGTGGACTACATTGCCTGATTGAAAATATTCATATTCCTAGCTGTCTAAGAATCAACTCAGTCAACCTGTCAATCTTTCTTCAAAAAACGTCACCCAGAACAGTAAATTTCTCTCGGGAAGAAATAACTGTGAAATCGGGAACGATTCCTAAGTGGAACGATTTAGACAACTCTCACCCACATATGACTTGCATGAAGGGTCCAAGTAATTAGCTCGATGTAAACGCGGAAAAAAGAAGAAATAACCGTTGAAACATCAAGGTAAACATAATCAGCGAAAACACTTCCCCGTGGAAAGTCGCGTAACTAAACACTTAAGCGCATTTGTTAAGAAGCTTCCTGTGCGGTCGCGTTAACAAACCGTCTAGCAACGCTTCACAAAGCAGCAGCCAGAAGCTCGACCTTGTTGCGAATTTTTCCCGCCCGGAGCGAACGTGAAATTACGCGAACAAAGCATACCGATGTTCAAAAGAAATTTAATTAGCGTCGAGTCGCTTTAGGGAAGTTCACAACGCGGTGTTCCGCGTGTCACGTTCGCGACGAACAGACGTTCAACTACGCGACGCTACTTGCAAATGCGTCCCCGAAGAGCAAAGCGTCGCGTATTAGCCGTGACTAATTTCACCCATGAAATTCTGCATTGGGAGAACTGTTACGAAGATTTTGGGTCGTTTGAATACTCAATATGGGTCGATGGTGATTCTTGATGTTATTTTAGAAGAGGGGAGAAATTTAGGGTGATTTAAAAATTTGATTTTATTTATTATTGATGGGTGCATGTTGGAGCGATTAAAATATAGATTTTGACAGGAATTTTTATATTGAGAAATTAAGGTTTAAACTTCTGAATTTTCAAGTTATTAAATTAATAAATTTACAAATCCTCTGCATTGGGAAATGCAGTAGATACAACCTAACCTAACTTAACCTAAAATATACATTTTGACAGAAATTTCTATATTGAGAAATTAAGTTTTAAACTTCTAAATTTTCAAGTTATTAAATGAACAAATTTACAAATTCTCTGCATTGGGAAATGCACCAGATACAACCTAACCTAACTTAAGGTTAGGTACCTTTAGGTAAAGTAAAATATACATTTTGACAGAAATTTTCACACTGAGAAATCAAGTCTTAAACTTCTAAATTTTCAAGTTATCAAATCATCAAACTTACAAATCCTCTGCATTGCAAAATGCACCAGATACAACCTAACCTAACTTAACCTAAAATACACTATTTTACGGTGTTATATTCATACGTTACACCTGTACTAAAATAACTCTAAGCTCGAAGAAGTAAAATATTAATAACTCCTCTTCGACATTACAGTCTTGTCTTTAAAAATTCACCCTAAGTTCTGAACTACTTTACAGAATTAATGAGACAAATTATAGCGAGTCGACATATGAGATCAATTTTACAGGGTACATTAACAGAAGCTTTCGAAACTATAATCCTATTGGCAGCTAAAGGAGAAAACACAATAAAAAGAAACGTAAAATTGGAAGATCGTAGATTCGAAGAACTATAGAAAGGGAACGAAACGAGTTTTCAAACTGAATTTCTACGGAAAGGAAGTCCTGGAAGAAAGTCCTTATTCTACATTTCCTATTTTCTTACTTATGTTCTCTTCTAATATCGTTTGCTAACTCTTAAGTATGTTGTCGTAAATAAGTTATGGAAGTAAAAAGTAGAAAGTACTCGTTTATTGTGCTGATACAAAATTAACACCCTGCTCATGTTTCCTCTTTAAAATAGAAGTAATTTTTTGGTATATTTAAGTGTGTTTGAATTTAAATTGTTTTATAAAATAGTTCTGTCAAATATCCAGTATAAATTAATATTTACTCATTAATAATAACTCATGTTGAAAGTAAAAATCTTACCTTGGCAACCCCATAGCCTTTAGCCCGTAACCTGAAGAGGCAAGGCACAACGACAGCCGGTGAAACAGCAGCGACGACGCTTCCCAGAAGAAAACCCCATATCAATGGCAAATCCAGGAGATGCGACGTTAATGTAGCCACTACGATCATTTCAACGGTCCAGGGTATTAAACCAATTTTTGGTACGGTGATTCGCAACCTCTGCAGGGCTCCTGGGTCCAAATCCAGCCCGGCTCTCGTGAGGATAATGACTAGAGCAATTTTTCTGCAACAGAAAAGAAATCAGCGATTAATACCTGTCTCTGTTGGGGTTAAATTTCTTGGAGGATTTTAGTGGAATACTCAATCACTCATTATATGACATCTTTGTTATATTTGGATGATTGTCATATTTTATATTTTTGTTATATTTAGATGTTTGTCATATTTGATATTTTTGTTATATTTGGATGATTGTCATATTTTATATTTTTGTTATGTTTGGACGTTTGTTATATTTTATATTTTTGTTATATTTGGACGTTTGTTATATTTCAGATTTTTGTTATATTTGGACGTTTGTTATATTTGATATTTTTGTTATATTTGGACGTTTGTCATATTTTATATTTTTGTTATATTTGGATGATTGTCATATTTGATATTTTTGTTATATTTAGATGTTTGTCATATTTTATATTTTTGTTATATTTGGACGTTTGTTATATTTGATATTTTTGTTATATTTGGACGTTTGTCACATTTGATATTTTTGTTCTATTTGGACGTTTGTCATATTTGATATTTTTGTTATATTTGGACGTTTATCATATTTGATATTTTTGTTATATTTGGACGTTTGTCATATTTGATATTTTTGTTATACTTGAAAGTTTGTCATGTTTGACATTTTTGTTGTACTTGAAAATTTGTTATATTTCACGTTTTTATTATATTTAGACATTTGTCACATTTGATATTTTTGTTCTATTTGGACGTTTGTCATATTTTACATTTTACATTTTTATTATACTTGAAAGTTTGTCATATTTCACATTTTTGTTATATTTAGACGTTTGTCATATTTGACATTCTTGTCATATTTGCACATTTGTCATATTTGACATTTTTGTCATACTTGCACATTTGTCATAATTTACATTTTCTTTATGCTTCAACATTTACTGCACTTGATACTTATATTCAAAATTTCGTTTCAAACAAACAAACATGTCCCACATCACTTTATTCAAAAAACCCTTCAAAATCGTTCTACATCAAATTTCCAAATCCACTTCATATAAGTCAGCACAGTTCAAAATCAGTTCTAAAATCACCAGTTCACCCAAAACCCCCCAACGTTCGATTCATTCAAAAGTATCTGCAGACTCCAGATCTTCTCAGACTTCCAGAACGAAATTCTGTCGAAAGTGATGCATCAATTCTGCAGAAGGGTCACTTGTGCCCTAAGTCTTTGAAGACCCTTCTGTCTCGGGGCCAGGTTATCGTTCGAGTTTACGTGTAAATTCAACGTGCCCTCCGTAGATTGCCGATGCCTTCCAGGACTCGGTTACCCAACCGAGACGCACTCCCTCTTCTCCGGGAAACTCGTAATAGGATAAGTTTCGGACGGACCGACTCAGAATCAGTCTCGTGCAAACTTCCAGCCGAGTCGTCTTTAACGATCTCGAGTTTTCATCGGGAACGTTTTCCAGATTCGAAGGACCAGTTTCGGCTTTGCTGATCTTCATTTGCATAGCTTAAGCCAGAGAGAGAGACTCGGTGCGTGTTTATCGGAAGCTAGTTTGGATTAGATTCCAAACTTGGCTTTCTTAATCATGCAACGGTTAAGTGACATTTTTGGAACGAGTTCGAAATTGGAAATTATTTTCAATTACGTTCAACTTTCTCTTGGGACACCGTTACATAATCTGATAGATATATATAGAGACTTTGTTGGATTTTGTTGGAGTTTATTGTTTAACGTTTGGTTTGGTTTTGGAAAACTATGTAGGTTTTAGGGTCACAAGTAAGTGAATTTATTTAGCTGGACAGATATTGTACTCTGGCTATTAAAAATGTGGTTAGGTCAATGTTATGACTTAATTCTATTTTCTGACTTTTTATCACGGCAAGTATTTATTAAATTTCATCTAATGAAACTTTCGTTCGGCCATGAAAAATGTTGACATTCGACATAGAGTTTGAACTTCATTTAGATACGTACCTCAAACACGATGTAAAAATTTATAAATATACATCTATGTACAAAAGCACCAGACTGAAAGTCTAAAAACTCAAGATAAGAAAATAAAAAAAAAAGCAGCGTAACCCAGGTTCACAGAGACCAGTTTTAACGATTCCTAGTTTCCGAACACAGTGGAAAAAGTTCTGACGTCTAATTGAAATTCACCTAGATTTGCTGGGCTTTTTCCTGAGGGTTCCTTTTCGAATCAGCAGAGAATTCTCAGTCAGTAAATTTCGGATCCCGCAGCCTTACGGCGGCCTCGTTGCTGATTGAAGAATAATATCGTTTTCGAGACGAACTTGCAGGAAGTTGGTGGAATGCGGACGGAACTTGGACGCCCACGATGCAGTTCAGCGAATGGGAACTTTGTTATTGCATAATGATGCGTTAAATGAAAGGAATTACCCGCTTACTGACACGATCGTTTCAATGCGTACGTGATAGGAACTTGCACTTGGAATCATTCAATTCGAACGATTAAAATGTTAACGTGATTCATACCTGGATGAAACTGATTCGGAACTGATTTTCGAGAGGACTGTGAATTTGTATAATAATATTTCGCTTTGTTCGGGTGTGGAAGTTTTAATACCGAATGTAAATGAAACAAGCTCGTAATTGATGGTGGAAAGTTTCTATGTGACAGAATGTTAAGAGGGAATATAGTTAATGTTTCTAAATCAATTAGATTTTTACAGGATGTTAAATGAGGATAGGCAGTCGAATAGAAAATAAAAGTACACATGGTTTGCTCGAATAAAAACACACATGTCTTGCTTGTACATTGCTTATCCACGCGCTGTATTTCCACGCGCCATAATTCCACGCTTCGTAATTTCCACGCGCCGTATTTCCATGCGTTGTATTTCTACGCGTCGAAATTTCTACGCGCCATAATTCCACGCGCTGTATTTCCACGCGCCGTAATTCCCACGCGCCATAATTCTACGCGCCGTATTTCCACGCGCCAAAATATCTATGCGCCATAGTTCCACGCGCCGAAATTTCTACGCACCGTAATTTTCACGCGCCATAACTCCACGCTCCGTGATTTCCACGCGCTGTATTTCCACGCACCGTAATCCTCACGCGCCGTAATTCTACGCGCCGGATTTCCACGCGCCGAAATATCTACGCGCAGTAGTTCCACGCGCCGAAATTTCTACGCGCCGTAATTTTCACGCGCCATAACTCCACACTCCGTAATTTCCAAGCAATTTGATTATCCTTGAAAATGTGAAATAAAAATTAACATGTTACTCTATCAAATTAACATAGAACAATTAAAGTACTGAAGAACAATTTGAAGGAAAGATAAGTAAAAATTGTAGACATTAATTCTGGAAATCTTCTATCGCAGAATGCGTAAGTTAAATAGAGGAATATAAAAAAAGAGGATGTAAGCCGATGAAGGTAGAGAAGATTGGAATCGAACAAAACCGGAAACCGTAAAATTGTTGTTGAACGGAAACAACCGGCAATAAATAACTCACGAAGCGTGTATCCGCAGGTGTGTCTACTAATAGTTTCTAGCTTCGAGTTTTGTGTAAAGTTGAACAGCATTATCCTAGTATTTTTAGCAATTACAAGCCTCTTTTTTCTCATTGATGAAAATTTTTGTGAGAACAGAAATGATTAAATTAAAGAAAATTGAAACATCGCCTTTAATACGTTTTCTCGAAAATTTATAGGACAAGATTTTAATTAAAATTCAAGATGTAACTTATGGTAGAGCTTTATAAAAAAGTTGCAGTAATTTAGTTCTTTTCGTTGTGCGTAGTGCTTACTAGGTAATGAGAAAAATAGATAGAATAGAGAAAAGGTAGTGGAAAATTAGTTGGAGATATCATAACTTGAGATTAAAAGGAAATTGTAAAGCAGCATATTAATTATCCGCTGGAGAATTTAATATCAGTTAACAAAATACAATAATCTTAAAATCTTCAAGCATGTTTTATTTAGGCGGCTGGTAACAGATGTTGGAAAAGTTTCGAGACGTTCGACAACCTACAGAATCTAAATACATGGTGACGCAAATTGAATTTCTTCAATGAAACAGATAATATTCGTTGCTTTATTAATGTAGTGGAATGTATATTAATGATGTGTTATTCTTGTAGTAATAGTGTAACGAGTATGCAGAGCTGATGCTCATAGTCTTCTCTCAATTTTTTAGGTTTGCAGTTTCTCAAGTTTCTCAAGTTTTCAAGTTTTCTAGTTTTCAATTCTTCAATTTCTCAATTTCTCAATTTCTCAATTTCTCAATTTCTCAATTTCTTAATTTCTCAATTTCTTAATTTCTTAATTTCTCAATTTCTCAATTTTTCAATTTTTCAATTTTCTAATTCTCCAACTTTTCAAGTCTTCAATTCTTCAATTCCTCAATTCTTCAATTTCTCAATTTCTCAATTTCTCAATTTCTTAATTTCTCAATTTCTTAATTTCTCAATTTCTTAATTTCTCAATTTTTCAATTTTTCACTTTTTCAATTTTCTAATTCTTCAATTTTTCAAGTCTTCAATTTTTCAATTCTTCAATTCTTCAACTTCTCAATTCTTCAATTTTTCAACTCTTCAATTTTTCAACTTCTCAATTCTTCAATTTTTCAACTCTTCAATTTTTCAATTTTTCAATTCTTCAATTTTTTAATTTCTTAATTTCTCAATTTTTCAATTACTCACTCAATTACTTAATTACTCGAATTTCATAATTTTTCAACTTCTCAACATTTCAATTGTTCAATTTTCCAGCTTTTCAACTTCTAATTTTTTCAACTTTCAAAATTTTGAATTCTCAATTTTCCAATTTCTTTATTTGTATTCATATAAAGTGGGCCAACCATATACACAAAATTAAAGACAATTATTTTGAAAGATTTCGCGTATCATCAGTCGGTTTTCACATCAAAATCGTTTCACCAATGACTCGAATAATTTTGCGAGAAACAGCTGAAATACCAGCGAGCTGTCGTATCGAGATAACCAATTAGATCATTTACGCGAGCGAAAATATTTATCCTTTCCGGAGTGCGAGCCGTT